AATTCAAGCCTCAAAGTGTAATTTTGGAGATCAGCTGCATACACAACTACGTGATCGTCTAATTCCTGGAATCAATATTCCTAAATTAGAAAAAGAGTTAATTCAGATTCCTTCTTGTGCGTTTCAAACTGCTAAAGATGTATGTATTACATATGAAGATGTCAACAGCGAATACTCTGCTCCCACTACGTCAGTATCTGATGTCATGCTGTCCAAAGTCGAAAATACAAGTGTTCATGGAAAGGAATCCAAACTGCCGTCCACAGGTAATAGAATGCAGCGAGAGATCAAAAACATTAAACCGTGTTTATCCTGTGGAAAGTTACATCTACGAAGCACTTTCCGTTTTCGGAGTGCTAAGTGCTATAAATGTGGTAAAGCTGGACACATCAAGACGGTTTGCAGAAGTTCGAATACATATGTTGCTCAACATTCTTATAATTCTCCCAAGCTGTCTAGTAAAATGGAGTCAATGTGTCTTTCAACCTTTCAAAATACTCAAGCTAATCCGATGAAAACCTCCACTACAAGTTCGGCTACTCAAGTGTCAACTGTTTTCAAAGATGAGGTAGCTGAGTTACAGTGCGAACTGTCGAAGACACGAAAAGACCTGAATGAGATGAGAGAGCAACTGATTAAAATTGAGGAATTACTGCATATGCATAGACTGCGTCCGTCGAATGCAATGCATACAAGTACCCGTGAAAGTCCTGCAAAACGTTTCAAATCTCGAATTCTCAAGAAGCGTCTGATGTCCACGACTTCTAATGTACATTATTACAGAGGGAATGATTATAGACCTTCTATTGGTATCATACTACAAAGAATGGGAAATCGAGTGGTGAAGATATTAGACATCAAAGATCACTCAGTTCATAACGGACACCTGGACAAAGTGACAATAAATGAAGTAGGTCGTTCCAATTATAATATTATTGATTCCGCTAATAATCCTGATTTTGTAGATAATTCAGAAATAAGTCCAGATAATACTGATGAAAATAATATCACAGAATCAGTTAGGTCGAAGCTACTTGCAAGCAAACCGAGACATCGCTATAAATACGCGAGGAGATATTCGAGGTGTGGCGGATGTGGTGATTGACAATTTCTATCTCTGTATTGTTTAAAATACTTACTGTTGACTGTTGATATGTTTCTTATATGAATGGCATTCGAATTCCGCTAAATACAAATTCCTGATTGCTGCCCTCTCTGGGTTTTGTTTAGATTCTTTTATTTTCGTCATCTCGGAATATTAATATTTCAAGTACAATAAATTACTACAGGTTTTGAGCCATGTCACCAATCGTAAACAGAGGATAGACCAAAAATACAGTCAGGAAATATTTAGGAACCAGATACTCAGGTGAATCGGCAATTGAAAAACACATTACTATAGACCAAATTTCTGTCTGTCTTTCTGTTTTCGACATAGAACTTTGCACCGGTGTGCAGCAGTTGAAGTCGCCACACTCCACGCAGGGCACAAACCAAGAGAAGAAATGCATAGTACAGAGAGTGAACTGAGGTGTGAGACAATATAGTTTCATTGGAATCTTAAACCACAAGGAGTGGATGCATCTGTGCTGTCATTAAGAACAATTTTGAGCCATATCATCAATTGTCTCCAACCCTCATTGGTGTTTACTGTCCCGAGGACTCCATCCGGAAAGTCTACAACTTCCTATGTGACTTAAACTAACTGTTGTGGAAATCATTAACTGCTGACACGTTTTGGTTTGGCCGCCGCTAGCTCTTTTCCAGCCTGTAGACCAAATTTACCAGCAAGAAAGTTCAAATTTCAAGTCGATAAAAATTGTCAATGTAAATTGGCAGCCAATCACCCCACAATGGTTGTCGGGAGATACGATTATATCATCATCATTCATGGAAAATTTAAACAAGTTCACTTTATATTAAAGCTTGCTCCGAAGATGCTGTTTGTAAGGTTGGCAGTTAAATCAACCAGCTCTGAGAACACGACTAAATCAAAATCATCCATTTGAGCTACAAATCTTCTCCACTACTTGATAATTATACTAGAAGTACTCCTGATTTGGTTATGATTTCAGAAAATCAAATGAAATGAAAACAGAAGCAGCATTTGACAGTAGTGAAGATAAGGGTGAATAAAGTGCCAGATAAACACTGAGGAGACCACCAACCGCAGCACCACCAACTCTTCATTTACGTACGTACAACCGAATCACTAGTCGTGTGGAGAAAGTCGATCGTAGTCTATTTAATCGTAAAGCAGATTTTCCCCTTTTTTGTGAGACACGCAATTTCTCAATACCAGCATTGGTGAGCAGTTTTGATTCAATAAGAAATTTAGAAAAAGTGGTGGGAGGCAGCAAATCAAACATATTTGGCTCCTTTCTCATAATGATGTAAGACAGCACCAGAAGCATCATCCAAAGTACATCTGTCTCGTTTATATGCGAAGTATTTAGAGAGTCATTAAAACATTTCTAGGAAGGTTGAAAGTTGAGGAAAAGTAATATTTTCATTAATGTCAAAAAAGGAGAAGTAATTACAATAGGGTTGGTTGACAATGCACTATCAGCTTAAAGATCACTCTACTGACTGACTGTACGCACAGTTCCGCAGACTACAGCACTAAAAGCTAGTAGTATGGGCAGATAAAAGTGCGCTTTATTTTTGATTTATGAAGGTGTTTCAGGAGAACAATTAAGTCCTCCAAAAAGGTGGAACTGCACGTAAAGGGAAAAAAGAAGTAAAAAAGTAAATGAATTCACAAACACACACAAAAACAGTTAAGGGAAAGGATAAATATTGAGGCATGGGTAGATTTAAAACAGTTTACTAAGTGTAGAAACTCTGCAAATCTACCTTGAACGCAGAAAACAGGCCATGGCGCCATATGGTTAGGGTTATAAGATTCACATGAGGATTCCCCACACACATGAATCTTAAAGCCTCAGAAGAAGAAGATGATGAAATTAAAAGTACAAATGCAGCTCCACCAAACACCTTCAATAATGAAAGTTGACGAAATATAATTCTACTATTGATTGACAAAAGACAAACACACTCTAGTTTCAAAGAGACAAAATGGATTATAAAAGCAAAAATGTAAGACATTCCGTAAAACGATGAAAACCAGAAGACAAACACAAACACACACACACACACTGGTCCTCCACATCCTCCTAACTGAGGTTACAAAAGGTGTCTCTAGTCTGAAATGAGGCAAAGTAGTAGGACCTGAGGGAATGACTCTAGAGGTGTTTTCGGACAGAGGAGACAATTTACTGTCTGGGTTAACTGAGGTATTAGACAATGTCTGGAGGTAGATCAGAGATAGGCCAGTTAGACTGGTGTAATTCGTTGGTCATCCCAGTATACAAGAATGGAGACATATCTTCTTGTGATAGTCAGATACCGATAAGCTGCTTGACTAATTGTGGTGGGTAAAGTTTTAGGCTGAATAAACAATCGTGAGTAGATTAAGTGGTGGTCAAGAGAGAGAAAGAAACACGAGAAAACCAGTGAGGCTTTGGAGCAGGTAGAGGCTGCATTGATCACCATCTTCAACCTTTGACATATTCTGGAATAGAGGAATACTTACAGGTGTCCAACAATTGCCGTATTTCTAGACTTGAAGACGGAATTCGAATAGGTCGATCGAGATGTATTATGGAAATGTTTGGCAATGAACGGAGTGACGAGGAAGTATATCGCACTGATCAATGTACTCTACTTACTCGAACTCGCGAAGCCAGCCAGGTAAGAGCCTGTGGAGACTTATCATCTAAATTGATGATAACCAGTAGTATCCACCAGGGATACCCACTGTCCCCATCTCTGTCCAATTGCATCATAAATGTACTAATGGACTTAGCCTAGACAGACTTCAGAGATCCAGAGACTGGTTTGTTACTAGGGTTTAATCTCAGTGATTTAGAATATGAGAATGTTGTAATCCTCCTCCTAGGTGAAGACACTGGTGAAACGCACAGTCTTCCGAACACCTTAAACAGCAACTTTAATGTGTTTGGTATGCGATTCACTCTTTTCATATACAAGGCGGCGCGACAGGATTGGACAACACTGACTACTAGCTGGCTTCGTAATAGGCAGGAGTGAAGTGGTAAGGCGTGTTGACCACTTCACCTATTATTTGAGAAGTTGCATCAGTTTCAACGGGTTGTTAGCTGAGGAAATCTCAGTATGGATACAAAAGGCTCGATTGACATTTGTGAAGTTACTCCATCTCTGGCGTATACATGATATCCGGCTGTTGACCCAATGATGTATGTACTGCACAGAGACAGTCCGATCCGCTCGCCTTTATGGCTACCAGAAATGGCCATTGAAAGTACATGTAAAAGTCAGGTGTCTCTGATCATAAATGTCAACGTTCTATCTCCCCTATTAAATGGGTGAGTAATTTTGAGATTAGGCTTCGGTTGAGTGATAAGTTAGGAGGAAAAATCGATCGATAAGGTTATGAAGTTACATCGACTGAGATAATTAGGACGTGTGTTATCCATGCCTAGTAACCGCCTTCCATGATGACCAATGTTAGCTGATATAGGATGAGGTTGGAAATGAGCCAGTGGTGGTCAAACCAAAACATGGCATCAATCTATGAAATCCATAACAGTTAGTTTAAATCACAAAAGGAGGTTTAGACTGACTTCCTGTTTGTGGTCCTCGGAATGGTATGGACCAATGAAGGTTTTCAATGAATAGCGCACATGCATTCACTCTTTGTTATTTGTCATATTCATATTACTATTGCTTTTCCCTTATACTTCTGTTCATTGTCTCTCTTTACTCTTACTTTGTGTGGTACACTGACGGAGTGCGGCACCGCCAACTGTCGGACATCTGTGTAAAGTTCTATGTTGAACCAGTCAGTGAGTCATACAGACAAGCCGATACACAAGCGTGGAAAAAAAACAAACAAAAAAAGGATAGGTAGGCATTCATCAATTTTTAAATTACAGTTAGCCTACAGTCTAACTTACCGGTGAAATTCTTCACTATACTGGCTAGTTCATTCACTGTGAATTCAACTGGATTCCCTAAATTAACCGGCAGTGTGTAGTTGGATTCCATTAAACGTACAAGACCCTCTATTAAATCACTGATAAACTGAAATGAACGTGTCTGTTGACCAGTACCATAAACCTAAATTGCATAAGAAAACAGCTTTTTTAAATTAAAAATAAGAATATAATGAATTTTAATCAATATTCAAGTATTGGTTTTGTAGGGATTTTGTTTAATTGGTTGCAGGATTTCATCATGAACTGACATCGGTTAGGGAACCATTGGAAAACCTGCAGGGAGTAATGGACAGCTGTCACCTCCTAGTTTGGGACTCTTCATCAGTATGCTCCCACCGGGGTTAGAACCCAGACCTTCTGGGTACACGGTGAGCTCGTAGACCATTAAGCCGCTGGTACCCGATTCAGTGACCAGCCTATGAATTCTAACTTTTGCAATTTACGACAGCGCGACCACTAGCCATTGTCTTCGGTGAGCATTTGTCCTCTCATTAATTTTTGAGATGTTAAGTGTTAGACAATTTCCTGAGTTATGCTTCAGCGTTACATTCTACACCTGCTGAGAATTTTACACCGAATCAAAAGTATTATTTGTAACAAATCCATTATTATTTCATATATTGGGTCCTAGTGGGTAGTTGTAACCAGCACGGTCCACCAAGCCAGATAGAGGAACAGTTACTCGCATATGAAATTGGCTGACGGTTGCGTTATATATATCGCAAATCAGCAGAAGATAGGATGTTGGGCTGTTCATTCGATTGGGCTAAAGTGACTGAATGGTCTACGAGTTTTCCTGGATTCGAACACCAGTTTGGGGGGGAGGGGGTTCGTAGTGGGGAAAAAGAGACAGTTGTCCGATACTCCCAGGTTTTCTTCTGGTCCTCTAAGCGTGATATATATATATATATATATATATATATATATATATATATATATGTCATCATTAATTCCGCCGAGCGAGAGCCTGTCAACCCATTATGAGTTCTCTTCCTGTATTATCTGCACCGAGTTCAGCTGGCATTCATATCGCCCATGGTGATCTTGATGTAACCATTTTGGATGTTGTCCATTACTGGTTTTCTTCTCTTGTTCCGCATTGTTAGTAGCAGTGGATAATTGTGACCTTCCTTTCGTCCTGGAGATTGGTTTCCACTGCATTAAGCCTTTGGCTACCACTGGTGACATCATTATAGCCACTCACTGCCTCAATGTGTTCGTGTGTCATCTGGGTGACCAGAGTAGATTACTGACTCACCAATTGATAATTTTGACTGTCCACATCCACTCGATCCGCTCTCGCAGATTCCCAACACTTCCATGCAGAAGCATCTCATTTCTTTGGTTACCTGGACAGCGTTCCCAGCCAACCTCGTACATTATACGTACATTCCATGCCCCTATTGTTATTCTTGCTTTCATCGAGAGAAGACACATAGGCTGGCTGACTGCCAACCCCGAATGGGGTTGATAAATATTTGTGGTACTCAACTTCATAGCCGATCCTAAGTCCAGGAATGGATAGAAGGTTGAGAGTGGGAATAGTGGCCCTACCTCGAAAAATCAACCCAATCTGTACAGCAACTTCAAAGCGAAAGAAAATTACATAACTCAATTTCTTATTTTTTAATATGAATAACTATTTTAAAAAATACCCAGATAATGGTGAGATAGTTCTGGCTTGGCAGACTGTTAAGTAATACAATTAGATGAAATGAAAACCTGAATCGAACCGGCGGTCTTCGAATCACTAGTTCAATTCTATTTTATCTAAATCACTGATCTCTGTTGATGTATGTCAAGATGCCAGCTTCAAAGGTTATCAACTCCACAGATCCTGAACCTTGTGATGTTGACAGAAGATTAGTCATTGCAACTCAGAATACACTGTGTGATGTAACTGACTCGAGAATATCAGAAAATAGACCGACCAATTCAAGGATTGTTTATCTCTTTACCGACAATAAACCAAGACTATCAGGATGCAGTATACATCAAAGTGTTATTGATCGTTTTTCTCGAATCTTCTGCCAAATAGTCTACAATGAGGCCATGACCGCCATTTTTAACTCCCGCTAAAATGGGGATCCATTTGAATAAACGAACTATATGCGTTGCTCATTCAATGTCCATCAATAGTGTGACAGTATATGAAATAAAGCATTTATCACAGAAAGTTCTCTATAACAGGATTATATTTGTACAAAAGTAGTTTCGAATTGGGTTAGAATAGTCAATAATGATAATAGGTATGTTTGTTTATTCATTTGGATGTATGTTCTGCTATTTCGAAATTGACAAAAATATGATGCAGGTTACAGTATAATACATGAGGTCATTACAATAAGACAAATAAGACAAGTGAGAACAATAGACCCGTATACAACATGTCGGTAGGCTATTCAGTCTCCCTAGCGCTATTGTGTCTAAATATTAGATGATTTTTTATAGACTTACAGCATGCAGATGCCAGTATATATGGGGTGCCAAGCCCCCGTCGCATGCTCTGATGGCGTTCTTGTGACTTTTGCTGCCAGATCTGCCAAGCCATCCAAAGCCTCAGGATGGTCGGGGGTGGGTGTCTTGCGCTGCGGGTTGGCCACCCCTCCGCACACCTCTTGAAATGCTCCCATATGACCGTGCGTCTTACATAGCCTCTCCTGAGGAAGTCCTACTCACTGCCTTCACGTGGCGGAGGTGTTTCTCACTAAAGTGAGAGGGCAAAAGCGGATGCCCGGCGCTCTCCACCGGGTTGACTGTCCATTGGATGACAGTCTAGGGGAGATGGCTAAACCCTGATTCCAAACCTCCAACGATTGGCGTATGAAGCTCACTGGAGCTCACCGGCAGACGTATGGACAAAGGGCTTGTTGGATGTCCTGGATGTCTGGCCCCATTCAAAAAGGCGTATGAACCGAACTCCGGTCACCGGCTGCCAATGGATAGTGGACTCCTTACTCCACTCCTACTGCCTTGTAGGTCACACTTGGCTGTGTAAAGGCTAGAGCTGCACTCTCAAACAAAAGGCCGAGCGATGCTGGGGACATCACTCGTACCAAATTCCCAAGAAACTTCATGAACTCTCCTACAAACAACTCTCACCATGCTACGGCGTTCCCGGTAAGCGACGCGCCCTGTGCTCACCCGGTGGCCAGTGTGAAAAGTAAGCTAGCTGGGAAATTAACACTTAGAAACCAACTATTTGTTGGCTGCTGGAATGTTAGGACGCTGTTGGATCCTGGTAGCCAGTCTATCACCATGCGTTCTTTATATGACTACAAGGTAGACATAGCGTGTCTATCTGAAGTGAGGTTACCCGATCATGGCTCCCGCCGAATAGCCGTTCCTGGAACAGATTCTTCATTCTGGTTGCTTCATAGTGGCCCCCAGAATAATTCGGGACAACATGGGGTAGCATTTGCTCTCAGTAACAAAGCCAATAATGCCCTAATATCATTCGAACCGGTCAACTCCAGAGTTGCAGTCGCTAGGTTCAAGGGTTCCCCGCTCGACATTTCTGTTCTCGCTGTCTATGCCCCAACCCTCGACTCTGATGAAAGTATCAAAGACGAATTTTATGACAATCTTCAAGAGGCAATCAACAAAATCCCAAAGCGTGACGTTCTCATAGTAGCCGGCGATTGGAACGCCCGCACTGGCCCTTCAGACGACGCGACAAAACATATACTAGGCAAACACGGTCTCGATCAGCGCTGCCGTAATGGTGATAGACTTTTATCTTTTTCTGATTACAATCGATTATATATCACCAACACTCGATTTCAACACCCCAGAAAACATCTTCTCACCTGGTATTCGAACGACGGTCGCACTGCACATCAGATCGACTACATCCTAGTGCGCTCACGCTGGATCTCCTCGGTGGAAGACTGTCGATCCTATCGTGGAGCAGAGGCCGGAAATAAAGGGGGATCAGACCATACTCTAGTTAGGGCGAAATTCAAACTTCGTTTAACGACACGCCAGAAGACGCGACCTCCGAAGCGTATCAATGTTGCCCCGCTTCAATGTTCTACAAGACGACAAGCCTTGTCCAAACAAATCCAGGCCGAACTAAGCACCGCAGATGAACCAACATCCACATCTTCTAATACACCCGAGACACGATGGAATCATTTCAAAGAAGTAGTCTCTAAAGCTTCAATGACGCATTTGGGTACCACATCCAAGAAGCAGAAAGACTGGATTTCAGAGCACACCATGCTTCTATCCTCGCAAGCCAGAGACGCTCGCCTAGCAAAGTCTCCAGTTTATCGCTCCCTCAGGCGCAAAGCTACACAGTCTGCTAGGAACGACAGAAATCGCTATTGGTCTAACGTGGCGACTAACATGGAAGCAGCAACAAATGTAGGCGATTTCGGAAAACTTTATCGCCTCTTACGCCAATCATCTGGCAAACGCCTTAACAGTCATGCTGTGTTACGCACAGCATCAGGAGAAATTATTTCGGACACCAATGGTAAGATGGAACGATGGGCCGAATACTTCAAGCAGCTACTCAATCGCGACGCTGGTCAACCGTCTCATCGACCGATACGACACTTACCAACACCCTACGTAGTTGACTGCGATCCACCCACTCCAACCGAAATAGCTAAAACAATTAACACACTCAGAAACAAAAAAGCTCCGGGCGAAGATGGTCTACCCCCAGAAATATACAAGGCCTGCACTCCAGCGCTAATCGATGCACTGCACTCGCTGTTCTGCTCAATTTGGGAGTCCGAAACCATTCCTTCCGATTGGAGCACCTCAGTTCTGCTACCGTTCCACAAAAAGGGAGACAGGTCAATATGCGAGAACTACCGAGGCATAAGTCTGATTGATATCGCTGCTAAGGTTTTTGTTTCCATTCTCCTGAACCGCTTCGCGGCCGAACGCCACGTGCGAACAAGGCCAAATCAAGCCGGATTTCGACCTGGAAGAGGCTGTGTTGATCAATTATTCACACTGCGAAGAATTTTGGAACACAGGGACAAATTCCAACAGCCGACGGTTGCCTGCTTCATCGACTTCCAAGCGGCATTCGACTCAGTTGATCGAGGAGCACTCTGGTATCTAATGGAGCTCGACGGAGTTCCGACCAAGCTAATCAACCTG